CATTTTTTATACCTAAATATTGTCGCCTTTCAATCAGTCGCCAACAGTAATATTACGTTCAAATTGGCCCCATTTAACTTGTTAAATGAAAAAAAGCTTTTTGTAAAACACAATCGTCCACATTGAACATTTCGAGTTAACTTTGACGGTTGATTTCAAATAAATGGCATGCAGGGTTAGAACTGCGGCAAGCTTAAATCGGAAAATCGTAGCAGAAAATAATGTGCCATAGTAGTATTTTTTATAGGTCGCTCGTTTACTGGGGAACGTCATAATCCAAAGAGACATTTTTTTCAGTTAAGTATGCAAAAATGGCTGCCGATCCTTATTTTTTATTCGCCGAAAAATGCGTTACGCTATCCTCCAATTGTTTCCCTGGAACTTAACCCTATAAACCTTAGACTCTACAATCTCTCTTTAGCCAAAGTAAGGAACCAAATGGATTTTTAATGACAGAGTTATCATCTCATATTTCAAGCAAGTGTTGCATATTTTAGCGAAAGAGAGGATAAAACTATCTTTAAAATACCATTTCAACTATTATTATCGTGGAAAAATTACGAAATTTATGCCATTTTCCAGAAAGAATACCTTTAAGAGGCATATTTTTGTTTAGATATAGTATGTGCTACATAAAAATAAAAATTAGTCTAATATTATTTATATTATACCTTAAAAATTACCTGAATTCATCAATCCATGTTTGTATTAAAAAGAAAAATAATTTTATTTTATGTTTTTCTTTTTTTAGTTTAGATACTGCAAAAGGCGTACTTTATTATTTTGGAATTAAAAACGTAGCAGATCGTAGGTAAAGCGGAATAGCGTAGAGTATAAAATTTTCTCTGAAACCGTAGTAAATCTACTACGATCGTAGTGAAACTCTAACCCTGTTGGCGGCTCATTCTGATTGGCTGAAGCAGAAAGCTTTGTGATACAACTCTGCGCTGAACTGGTTTTCAAACGAGTTAAATGATTTAACTGGTTCAATTTTCCAACAACAATTGCATGCGATTTAACTTGTTTATGAACATGTTTTGTTCATTTAACTGGTTCAAGCCCATTTAACATGTTAAACTCGTCAATTTGAACATAGTATAAGGCTTTCAGCACATTGGTCGCCCAATCATAGTTTCTTCATCGTCACAATCATGATGCGACGATTACATTACGACTACACTTTCGCCCACTCGGTCGTGATACTTCAATTCATTTGGAGTCTAAAAATTCACTTGGAGCAGGTATTTTCTGTTTTTTTGGTTGATATTTTCGCGAAATATTTACAAAAACCTGCAATTTTTAAT